GAAAAATTTTCTAAACTCATATATATATATATATAATAAAATACAAGTAACAAAATATCAAACCTATGTATATATACATATATGATCTTCCTAAATATTTTAGACTTATACAATTGTAATTGAAAGATATTGTATAAATGTTAAAATAAATATTTTTTTTATAATACCTAAGTAATAAACGTATAGCGGTTAAGAAAGTGTAATAGCGTAGTTTGCTTTTTTTTGTTAACGCGAGATATAGTACGAAGAAGATACGAAGAACCTATATATATATAATGTTTTTTACATCGAAAACATTCCAAAATGTATTACGGTTAAAAAAAAAGAAGAAAAATATGTATAACAAAGATTACGCGATTCTTATATATACACACCAAAGACGAAAGATGTTATTAATAAAGATGGAAGTTTAAAAAAAAAAAAAATTAGCACCAAGTGTTATTCACACGTATAAAGTAGAATTTCACGAGAATATATCACATGTACATTACGCTATTATAAGTAAATAATTATACGAGAAAATATATATATTTAAGATTAAACTTACTCGTCTACTTGTTTCCACCTTCTTTATACCTTTTTACCTTTTTATCGTATTTATCGATTAATAATCTCGCGACAAATATACAGCTATACGTATATTTTCCAGAAGGGATAACGATAAAATTTCGAGAATAGCGACGAGCAAAGAAGGAGGAATCTCGAGGATGCGAGGTAATGATAATATCGGTGAGAAGTGGGCTTGGAACAAGGAAATCGAAGAGAGAGAGAGTTTCCGCCGATTTCGCGAAGGTAATCCGTACGAACGATGTTTCCAACCGACGAGAAAGTATACGAGAAAGATTTTAGTAAGTCGGATCCGAGGCGCGGAAGTAAATATTATCGTTGGATTCGACGCGTCGAACGACGATGAAACTGGATATATATAATTTTTCGACGACGAAGGGAGGGAATGGTGGTGGAAAGTACGAGTAAGAGTAACAGGAAGGCGAAAACTTTGCCCTTCCTTGGAGAAAGGAAGGATCGTTCTCACCGCGATACACGGATCGGAGGAGTGGTGGGCCAGGAGAGGAACGACCACGGGAGAAATAATAGTCCGCTCGAGTCTTCGTTCCACCAGAAAGTTGTTTCCCGCTCGCTCGCCATCTCTACCTATCTCTAGACTCGGTTAGATTTATCGACATATTTTCTCAGTCTTTTCACAGACTTTATTTTTCTACAACGACATCCACCGCTCGTCCCCCCTCCTCCTTATCCATTATCTCCGCCTTGTTCGGTTTTACCGGACTTTGCGCGATCGGATCGCCAACCACTGAAGGGAGAACGTACCCTCCTTGTTTCATCTCCAACGAGAAAAAAGCGAATACCTGTGTACGCGTACATCTGTGTAAATAATCTCGTGATATAAATTTTTTTATTCGAAAAAAAGTTGTTATTCTTTGAAGGCGAAAAGGATGCGAGAAAAGTCGAAGAACGAGTACGAAGAGGTTTAAAAATTAGACTCGCAAACTCGAATCTGGCGAGTCGAACTTTTGTTTATAAAAATGGCCGAGTAAATCTCGATTACCCGGTGAAAGAGGAAATCATCTCGTCTAAAACGGTATCGCGAATGTGGCCTGTGCGCGGGTTCAAAGTTTTCGAATAATTCGTAAAAAGC